AAGGCTCAGCAACCACCTTCCCCGCGGGCAGCCCCTCCAGCTGGGGTGCCAGGGACTGACACCCCCCCTCCCCTCCCCATCCTGTGCTGGGTAGGGCTGTGCCAGCCCCCCCAAACCCCAACCTCATCCCTGCTCCTGCCTGGATCCTGCTGGGCCGTTCTGGGGGGGCTGCGCCCACCTGCCCCCCCCGGCAGCGTCACACGGGGCCAGCAACAGGATCAGCTGGATCAGCAGGATCAGCCCCCTCGCTCTGCCGAGCTGCCCACGTGGCAATTCCCTCCAGCATGAAAATTCACTTAAAAAGGAATAAAAATGTAAATCCGGGGCCTGGCCCCGCGCGGAGGGACCGGCTGGGGAGGGGGGGCGCTGCTGCCACCCTCCTGATGCTCCAGGTTTGCCCCCCCCCGCGGGGATCCTGCCCTCCTGATGGGAAGCAAAGCCACCCCTGGTGTCCCCAGCCAAGGACTCCTGTCCCCAGTGCTGGTGACAGGAGTGGGTGGGCGCTCCCAGCTCAGCTGCAGGGTTTGTGGTGGCCCCCCCGTGCCCTGGGGACCAGCGTGGGTTTGGCCACTTGCTTTTCAATGCAGTTGTGCCACAGCCATCCCTGTGGGCCCATGGTCATGTCAGTGTGGTCTGTGCCCAAAAGGGTTAAAGGGCTTCGTTCTGGGGTGACCACGGGGGAGGGGGCATCGATTTTTATGTTCATGCTGGGCTGCATCGACCAGGGATGAGGGACCAGGGATGAGGGACTGATGGCTGATGAGAGACACGGCCACCCACCCACTCCTGGTGCCAGGGCAGGGTCCACCCTGGGGTGCCACCAGCTGGGAGCAATGGGGAGGTGGGGAAGGAGTCTGGGACCCTCCCAAGAGGTGCTGCAGGGTCCAATTTTGCTGCAGACCTTGGGTTGGGTGTTTGAGGGGAAGGTGGCTCTGGGTTTGGAGGGGGGCAGGGGGATGGCAAAGCTCAGCATCCAGACCCGGGGCCTTGGGCTCCTTCCCCTCCTGGCTGCCTGGGTGGCAAAGCCACAGAGCTGAGCCCTGGAGCACCTTCTGGAGAGGAGGCATAAGCTGTTCCATGTCACCTCCCTTGCCCTTCCCCTCGTCCTGCCTGTAGCCAAGGGCCAAATCCAACTTGAAGCTGCGGCATCAGGTCCCTCCAACACTCCCCAGGACCCCCCCCCCGCATTGTGCCCAGACCTCTTTTCCCTCCTCCTGCCTGCAATCCCTGCCCAGCCTGCCTGCTCTGCCTGTGCTATGCCAGCCTGAGCTCTCCGGGGAGCTCATGGGTGGGGGGCTCTGGAGCTCGTGTGCCCACCCAGTGCCAGGAGCACAGTGGGCGCAGGTGTGAGGCCACTGCAGATGGTCGGCGAGGCAGCCCCTGGCACCAAGGAGCTGTGGCACTGCCACCCTCCCCCGGGGGAGGTCCCCTCACCCACGGCTGTGTGTCCCTCACGACAGGGAAGGAGCCACCCCCACCCAAAACATGCCTGGGGACCGGGTCTGTCCCTGTCCCCTTCAAGCCCGAGGTCCCCGGGCGGTGGCAGAGCCCGCAGAGCCCCCGTGTCCCCGTGGTGATGGTGACCAGACAACAGTGGAAAACGGCCAAAAATGTGGTTTTAGGCTTGACCAGGCTTGGGGCTGCTGGTCCAGGCCTGCAAGGGCTGTGTCCCCGCGGGGGAAACTGAGGCACGGAGGGACTTTTATGCACTCAGCAGGTCAGCACCAGTGGCTGA